CCTACTTCGCGGAATTTCATTTATCACGGTAGGGTCTAGAACCGATGAACCGCGATCAACGAGGGTTCACTGTATTATCAGTTAAGCTCACATGAGGGGAGGCCCTACTCCCATCTGAGGGGTCTTCTATAAAAGAAGCAAAGAGACTCCGGGGATAGAAGGCATGGGACAGTGACGCTACTACTGCAAGACAAGGAATGCCCGGGGCTACCAGAAGTTGGGAGAGGCACAAGATAACATCTTCTTTGGGGGAATTGGTACACACCCTCATCAACTCCATACTGGGATCGCCTGTGAGTCACCAAAAGGTTGTACGGAGATGAGGGTGGCGGGAAAGTGCTACCTCTTACTCAGGTCACAGCCCCGAGGCAACTGAAAGCAAGGTCCTTCATGGGCTATGGTCTTGTTCCCACAGCAGGACACTGTGGAAGAGCTTGTTGACTATTTGCTGGTCTGGGCCCTCTGGCACCTTGGACTTCAGTCAGTGGCGTGCCTATCTTGTGAATCATGGCAAGTGTGCGAGGCACTTTTTCACACACACACACACACACACACACACACACACACACACGCCCATGGGATAGAACTGCTTCTGTGAGTTTCTGAGGCTGTACATCTTTACAGGAAGAGAAAACTTCGTCTTTGTAGAGGGAACTTAAGCTAAGACAATGCCTCAGATCTCAATGACTACTCACAAGTCAATTCACCAAAAAGTGCTGGTTATTCTTCCTTTAGGTAAGGGAATAGACTTCAGCTCCTGTGTAGGAAGTATTAGCTGTTGGATTTGGGGGACAGCCTGAAACCACAGGGAGGTGGAACCACCTGAAGGAGGCCCATATTGGCCCTGCAGCGCATCTTCAAGGCCACCAGGGCATCCGTCTCTCGTGTTCTAACACCAGGCCCTGAAAGTGGACTGTTCCTATTAGAATGTCTTTTGCTGCTTGTAGTAACAATGGATGTATCTTTCTTTCAGGTCCTAAAAGAACGTAAGTACTTCTTGAAAGGACCCTTGTAACTTATTTGGGGATGTGATTATACAAGGGGGAAAAAGCGTCCGATCACAGATAAAAAAGCAGACGCGCTGCCGTTGGGTCACTGCCAACGGATCGTGCCCTGAGAGAACACAGTAGAAGTCAGTCCCGGGGCTTCTCAGACGTCTAGTCTCACCGTTGGATCTAACTTCATCTCTCTTTCGGGGAGCTCTTTCGAGACCAGCCAGCATCTCCACATTTCTCTTCCCATTCTTCCGTCTTCCTTTTTCCAAACCAAGATGACCCTGGGGGCTTCTGACTCAAACGTGGTAACACCCCTGGCTAATGGCGTACCTAAATGAGGCAATTTAACATTTGGAATTTGAAGCAAGGACTTTCTAGAGAGAAAAAACAAAACCGAAGAAGCAGCAGAGGCATGAGGGAAACGTGTCGGAATTATGCGCACCTGGCAATGTGGGCGCGTGTGGAATGATCTTGACACCTTCAACCCACCATTGGAGCTGGGAGATAGCCATGTGCCCTCCTTTCTCCACAGCAGGCCTGGTCCACGAGAGCCCAGCAGGAGTTGTGATGATTGTGATTCGTGCAGACTCATGGCGCCCCCAGGGAGAGCGGCTGGGTCCTGCACAATCTTGAGAGTGGTTGCTGTGCAAACTCAGTGGTTGCTACTTCTTCATCTTTTGAGCGTGTCCCATCATTGGAGATGGGATCCCTAGCGGCTTAGTGACTATGCACTGGGCTGTGAGATGCAGAGTTGGCAATTGGAAACCCCCAGCAGCCCCGTGGAAAAAGCGTGGACTGTCTACTCCTATAAACAGTCTCACAGCAGGGGGGTCTCGATGAGTCAGCATTGATTCGATGGCAAGGGATTTGTAGTTCTGTCAATGTAGGAGGCGCATCTTCTAGCATCCTATCAGACGATGTTCTGTTGTGATCTGCAGCATTGTCATTGGCTGATATTTAGCCTTTCTTTCATCGCGCTTTACTCACTGCCTAATAATCACAAGGTCAGCAGTTTGGACCCGGCAGAAGCTCTATGGGAGAAAGATGACATTTTCTGCACCCATAAACGTTTGTCTGTGGCTTAGTTTATAGCATCCCAACAACCTGAAAGCCCCCACAGTGCGTCAACTATGCCTACTATGTAGTCGGTATTACTTAGGGCGCCCCCTTATAAGTAGAGCACTGTTAGGCTTTCAGGGTGTGAAGATGTTGCACTTGAAGATTATAATTTGCACCTGGGATCTGGATAGTGAATATAGCTTCCTCCCTTAGCGCTCCCTCAAGCATCCCCTGCTCCTTTACTAATATGATAAAAAGCGAGCCCGGGTTGCACAGTGGCTGAAGTGTTTGGCTCCTAACCAAAATGCGGGCTGGTTCACAGCATCCACCAGTGGCTCCTGCGAAAGAGAAGGAGATGGTTGTCTGCTCCCAGGAAGAGTACGGAAAACTCGCTGCCAGGCAGTCAATCCTGACTCACCATGACCCTAGAGGACAGGGCTGAATTAGCCTGGAGGGTTTTTCAAACTAAAACGCTTCACGGCCGGAGAAAACCTCATCTTTCTCCCAGGGAGCAGCGAGCGGTTTCAAACTGCTCGTGGTTTTGAACGGCCGACTTTGAGGTTAAAAGGCCAGTGTGTTATCATGTCACCAGCGCCTAAGAAACCCGATTGGGCAGTTCTACTCCCTTTATAGGGATATTGCGAGTCAGAATTGACCTGATGCCAGTGGGTTGTTTTGGGGATTTTAAATTTATTAAATGTGCATTCGGACCAACAACCCTCTGGTCTGTACGCAGGGATTTGGCTACACATTTCATTTTACCAAGCTGCCTACGTAATCTACTGCCGCTCTTAATAGGAAACGTCTGAATAATTCAAATCTGGAATTGGGTTAAAGAGATCCTTAGCACATAGGTGTTCTATAAATAAAAGAATGAGTAAATAATATAGTAACCTTGTTTTTCATGTGCTTCACCTTAAAGAGATGCTGCTGTTTTGTTTGCAGCGATGTGATCATTTTTCGGGGACTCTGAAGCGAGGTTTCATTTCACTGGGGTGGGGCTCTCCCAAGGGAGTCCCTTCTTGCTTGTTTCAGGGGTGCTGCCACCCTTTCCTTGGGCTCTTGCACTAAAAAGAAGCAATCATTTATCTCTGGTCTCGGTAGCTCAGCACGGAGCCTTGGCATTGGCCACAGGTCAGAGGAAGAAGTCAAGGCAGGGCGCTGATCTTTCCTTGGTCGCTGCAGTCTGGAAGGTCAACGTAGTCCAGGGCCGACTGAGAGAAAGCTGGAGGAGAGAGAGACAGAGAGACAGAGAGAGACAGAGAGACAGAGAGAGACAGAGAGAGAAATGCTTGTAAAGAGGAAGTGGTAAGAGGCTTCAAAATTTCAGTGTGACCTGTTTGGTCAGGTGATTTCTGTGGGGGAGGGGACATGAAAAGGGGGAAAAAAAAGGTCAGTAAAATGTCCTTATAAAGACAAAATCTATTTCTTTCCTGGACGATGATTTGTCGTTCTAGTTACTTCCTGCCTTGTGACCACACACCCAGGGTTGACAAAGTTGCTCTCCGGATCAGCAGGAAGACAATTTCAGATCACCTAGCAGCCCTACTGAGGAGAGTGTTTCTTCAAGGTAAATTTCCCGTCTGGCTGTTTGTGGTCTCCCCGTCTTTCTGGTGAGTTTGCTTGTTACATGGCTCTGTGTCTGTGAAGGTGGACTTCGGTTTCAGGGGACTAGAGACAGTAGTACCTGCCCTCTGAGCCCTCTTTGAGACTCGCCAGCTTTGCACTGGCCACCGAAGCTGCAGCACCTTGCATGCCTTCCAGGGTGGGGTCCCTGAACTCCCTGGGCTGGGTGCTCCTCAAGGGCAACTCCCAGAATGATTTTGATTTGCTTCTTTTAAGCCAAACCAAGTGCTGGTTTATTTCTTTTGCCTTATTTCAAGAAGGCTGTATTGACTGTGATTGTATCTCCTGGGCGATGCGTTCAGGGACGTGCATATTGATCATTTCGATTGTGCAGCTCGGTGGCCTAATGGGGTGGTTAATTTTGGCTGCTGTGGTTCAGGTTGTCTAAAACGGCTCCAGCGAGCTTCTGTGGCGAGTTTACCATCTTGAGTCACGTGTGCACTGCTGGTTAGTTAGAGTCCTTTTGGCGCCAAGGGTTTTTAAGCGGGCGCACTTAATAACCCCAGGGAATTAGAGACTTCATCCTCGCCATTCATTCTCTGAAAATAAAAAGTAATTTGGGTTCCTTAACTGTGCTGTCTGTGTAGGGTCATCTGGACTGTTACGCATACAGTATCCACATACCGATGAATACCCACTTACAGCAGGGAAAAGGCTTCCGTCTACAACAGGCCTTCTTACAAAGCTGGTGCCGGGGCTTCCTTCAGAAAATGGCTGAATCTAGAGACTTGGGTTATAGAGTATCAGCTTCTACTTGATGATGACTATCTAATAATATTAGGAACTAGAGACAGGTGGTAAATATAAAAGCCACTGAAATTGGAGACAGATTCATTCATCAGCACACTCATCAAAACTCAATTTTTCTTGCTCAAGTGAGGCAACTTATTTTCCAAAACTTCTCCCTCAGGACAATTGCACAACAAAATATAAAATCTACTGTTAAGCAAACAAAGACAGTTTGTTTTTTGTGTTTGTGTTGATTCGTCTTAATTTCCTTTTAAATTTAAGAGCATCTGTGGAGACCAATCTGAATGGAAATTAACCATGTACTCATCAATGTGCATTTCCGGAAAGTTCCAGCTGTGGCCAATATTATTTGGTATATCTCATCTGAATGTTTTTAAATTAGCAAAAATGTGGGATTGGGATAGGGGAATTCAAAGAACAGAAAAGAGCAGATTTAACATTTTTGCTTCATCTTAGTGTGTCAAAATATATTCATGAGAATAAAATCGAATGAGATATGTGACCTCCTCTCTAGGGGATGGACAACCGAAAAGTGGGTGAAGGGAGACATCGGACAGGGCAAGATATGACAAAATAACAATTTATAAACTATCAAGGGCTCATGAGGGAGGGAGGAGCGGGGAGGGAGGGGGAAAATGAGGACCTAATGCCGGGGGTTTAAGTGGAGAGAAAATGTTTTGAGAATGATGAGGGAAATGAATGTACAAATGTGCTTTACACAATTGATGTATGGATTGTGATAAGAGTTGTATGAGCCCCTAATAAAATGATTTTTTAAAAAGAGAGAGAGAGAATACCAGAAAAAAAACACATCGAATGAGATGTAAAGGCATGCCAGTTTTTTCCGTGGGTTGGGAGGTAATAAAAAGGAATACGACAGAGCTAATGAAAAGAAGAAAGAAATCTCAAAGATTTCCATCATTGAAGGAGCAGAGCAAGAACATGTTGCTCATTGAGGTGCCAGCTCCTGGTCAGGTCAAGTCAGAGCATTGTCTTCTGGGTCTGGTGCTGGGGGCGATTTGCTTAGGAAGACATTTCAGCAGCAATACTGGGGATTGAAATTTTATCTCCTCTGTAAACTATGTAATTTAGGGGTTTCTAGAGAAAAAAAATAGAGAGGGATGGGAGGCAGGGAGGAGATGGAAGGGGAAAGGTATTTACTTCATGAGATCGGCTCACATGATTAGGGCCTGGGGTGGGGCCTGTTGAGCTCCGAATCCATAGACCAAGGGGTAAGCTTGAGACTCCTCCAATTTGTGTCTCAAGACCTTCAAGAGGAAGAGGGAAGAGTTAGCGTTTTGCCAAAATACTGGTCATTACTCTGGAGGCAGAGCATACCCAAAGGAATCCTCTTTGCACCGATTGATTTCATTATATTAGATTGCTCTGTAGAAAGCAATGACATTACCTCACATTACTTGAGATTGCATTGTATGACACAAACTAGACTAGTGTTTGGTCAAACCACTGAGCCCCATAGCCTAGCCAAATGGACCTACCATTAACTCTCACATTTCCCTGGAAACCATCAGTAATTTGGGAAACAATTTTACCTCATTTCTCGTTCTTTCACTGAGCCCTTTGGGGAAGGGGCAGACCCACAAGTAGTCATTCAAAGGTGCCTATTTAAATGATAGAGAATGAGAAAGGAGTGTCACTGAAGACCGAGAAACTCTCCATAACCCTTCTATACGCATTTTCTCACTTAATCTCTCAGTTCCCTGCGGGTGGAGGAATGGGTCCAGAAGGAGCTCCCTAAGGCCACTGGCCAGTTAAGGAGGGGAGAGTGGTCAAGATGCTAGGCTCCACACTGCCTCTGTTATCGGGTCCTCCCTTCCTTGACAACCTACTTTACCCACATCTAGGCTTTTATTACTGAACCAGAGAGATCTTGGCACTCAAGTATTGAAAGACAGAAGAAATTACAAGAAATCTAGAATCGTTGTTATAGAGAAAAGGTATCATTCGGTTTTCAAGTAATAATACAATGAAGAACAAATTTTTTTTTTAATCATTTTATTGGGGGCTCATACAACGCTTATCACAATCCATCCATCCATCCATGGTGCAAGCACATTTGTACATTTGTTGCCCTCATCATTCTCAAAACATTTGCTCTCCACTTGAGCCCTTGGTATCAGCTCCTCATTTTCCCCTCTCCCTTCCCCACCCTCCCTCAGGAACCCTTGATGATTTATAAATTATTATTATTTTGTCATGTCTTACACTGTCCGATGTCTCCCTTCACCCACTTTTCTGAGGTCTGTCCCCCAGGGAGGGGGTTACATGTAGATCATTGTGATCGGTTCCCCTTTTCTCCCCCACCTTCCCCTTCCCATCCTGGTATTGCTACTCTCATTATTGGTCCTGAAGGGTTCATCTGTCCTGGATTCCCTGTGTTTCCAGTTCCTATCTGTACCAGTATACATCCTCTGGTCTAGCCGGATTTGTAAGGTAGAATTGGGATCGTGATAGTGGGGGGAAGCGGGGGAGAAGGAAGCATTAAAGAACTAGAGGAAAGTTTATGTTTCATCGGTGGAGTTATATGGCTCATCTACTTCCCACAACCCTTCCATAAGGGGATGTCCAGTTACCTACAGATGGGCTTTGGGTCTCCAGTCCACAGTCCCCCTCATTCACCAGGATATGATTTTTTGAAACAAGTTTCTTTTAACTGATGTGTATTTTGCTTAAAAAAAAAATGTGTGCCATCACAAACTTGCCTCAATCTCCTGTACTTCCCCAGCTTATTTCTTGTCACTTCCTCTGCTCAGCTCCCACCCTCTTTTGCTTTACTCATGTTCTGGGTAGACCAGACCACAAGCCACCAGGAAGTTCTTTCACTGCATATGCTTTGTTTGAACCGTTTCTGCCATTACTTTCTTGTTCACTTGTAAAAATTCTGGCCCCTGTTGAAGGCTCACTTTAAGAAACATGTCTTTCCCCAGGCTTTCGCTGACTATGTCTGACCAACTTTGGGTGTGTGTGGGGGTGTGTGTACTGACTTAATACTTTGATCTTAGAGTAGAACTAGTATAAATTACATTGTTTCAGAACTTCATGTTCTTTATTTGCTGACAAACTAATTATTTCCCCATCTCCGCTTAGATATAGTACGGGTTAATGAGAGCTATGGAATTGAAAATGTGCCCCATGTATTTTTTCCAGTTCTTCAATAGGCACAGATGTCTTTACTTTGATTTCTCTCATTCGCTTACTAACTGCTGATGGCGATGATGGGAGACATACCCAAGAGCATGATACTTTGCATTTTGTCACGCATCATCGGTGTTAAAGCACTGTTCTTGGTAGCTTCAAAGCACTATGACCACAGTGGATTTAGGAAACTGTGCAATGCCAATGGCAATCAGACACATTGGGGATTTTATTCTTCTAGTCTATTTGTTGGTCTAAAATTTAACTTCTTTTACCAGAAGTGTGTCCCAAATAATGGACTTCTTTGGTCACAAAGAACTGTAGAACTGCATTACTAACTTTTGCTTATTTAATTTGGATTATAGGCAGAGAATTCATAAGTTAACTTCTTCTTACTTAAAAAGTTCAGGTCTTTCTGCGTATCTAGGAGAAATGACACATTTTGAAGCCAGGTTAAGTAAAATGAAATGGAGGTTTTTAAAAAATATTTATGAATAGCCACGCATTTGCTTTTTATAAAGGCATTGGACTTCATGAATAACAACAGATTTCATAGCAGAATGACATTACTTGGATTAATTGAATAGTCTTTGTAGGGTTTTATTTATTTGTTTGTGTCTACTGGGCTTCAGAGTTGAAATTCCTTAAACCTTTCCAACTCAAAGATAGCATCAAAGGAGAGCAATCTTAGTCTGTCTGCATATTGACCATGGCAGAAATGAAAATGAGTATTGGTACTCGGTGACAAATATACTCACCTGTGCCAGCAGCTTCAAAGCACTCCGAGTCCCTATTTTGCCAGCATATGATTGCATGTCTGAAATCAGATGAGCGCGTGTGCTAGACCGTGTTCGTTTGGGACTTCCGCCATTCCTTCTGTTGAAGGGCCGTCTCCCAGCTTGCCTTCCCTGACAGCTGCTGGAGCCGCGGAGCTCCCCAGATGGCATCTCCCTGGAGTTTCCTCCGGGTCGCTTCTGATTCAGCTTCCTTTCCTGCGTCAGTCACTGTCCCTGAGGTTGGAGTTTGTTCATTTCCATCTTTGCATCAGCCTTCTCGGCCATTTCACGGGCTCTCCATCTTG